AAAGCACCAAAAGACAAGTACAATACCGTCCACTTTCACCAAGTGAATGTCGGAAGGGGTGGGGAAAATACGGATATAGCATTGCAGCAGGCATGAGATGCTGGTGCACATGTAGTCATGGTACAGGAACCATGGACAAGAAAGAAAGAGGGGATTTTATAACAAAAATTCACCCTGGCTACAATAGCCATATACCATTCGGAGGAACAGACATCCGGCCCCGCGCGATTACTTTCACGCGCAGAGGTAGTCATGCGACTCAACTATTTCCACCGTTGTCAGGCCGGACATCTGACTACTGTTTTGTAAAGATGGGCAGCCTAACCTTTGTCATCGTATACCGTGCCCCAGGCACTAGTGGAACCTTGGAGCCCCTACTGCGGTGGGAAATTAGAGGTCTAGTGGTTGTTGGAGGCGATTTCAATTCTATGTCACAGCATTGGCAACCGCTAGTAACAAATCAGTACGGCAATGGTAACCAGATCATGGAATGGGCAACATCCCACGACATGGACTGTAAGGATTCTCCTTCCCATCCTAACTTAAGTTTATAATTTTACTCTTCTCCTGATGTTGCTATGACAACAGAATAGTTCTTGGCACTGGTTATTATGTTGGTACTAGTTTAGGGCCTATGTTATGATGAGCTAGTGGGAGGAAAGCAAGTATATGTATGATGGCTTGGCCTGTAGCTATAGAGTTCTTCACGCTTAGTCTTCTGTCACAACCACCACCTTCGGATCACCTCTGGTCACTCAAAGTCACCACTAGTTACCTTTAGCACCTTTAGTCACCACTAGTATTTGCTCGTACCTTTAGACTCTTTAGACACTTATATTACCCATTTTTAAACCTTTAGTTCTCCAAATTATCTCCAGTATATCTTTAGTCATCCTTCACGATCCATCCGACCTCTTCTCGCCCTTCTATTCCGCTTCAGATCAAACGCCTACGTTCCAATTTGACATGGACCTAGTCGGCATTGTTGGAGAGCCAACGCACAGGGACGAGAATGTCCTGGATCTAACGTGGAGCAACACGGCCGCCATAGCATCAGTGTCCAACCGTTACCACTGTACCTCGGATCACTCGACTATCGAGGGTATCGTACTAAATCCTACAGTGTCAGATCTCTCTGGAGTTGTAAAGAATATTCGTGTCAGCGACGCCAACTTGAAGGAATTTAGTCGATGCGTTAGCCAATGGACCAAATCTGGCCCTCTCGACAATGTCGTCAACATCAAAAACTTCGCAAATGATCTCCTACAAGCACTTGGAGATGCGCTCAAGATTGCAGGGAAAGTCCCAGCCATCGAAATCAGAAGAACTGGGCCATGGTGGATCGATGAATGTCGCATAAAATGGCAAGAGTCCAAGGCAGTGAGAGACAACCCTGACCTCGCAAAAGAGGCCCGCAAGAGCTTTAGAGCCGTGGTACGAAAAGCCAAGCGAGAGTACTGGAAGAGGCAAGTGGAGGCTATGACTACTGACGCACAGATATTCAAGCTCATGAGATGGGCTAAGCCTTGACCAGCTGCTGAGCCCCTCCCCTGCAGATCGACGAAAACCGGTGGCTATCTGAACCGCGAGAGCGAGCTAGTGCGCTACGAGACATTCTCTTGGCTAGGTTTAGCGGCGAGAACGACATCTCTATCTGGAAGAATGGACAAGAGTAGCGTATTCCATGGGATACAGAATTATCACTGGACGATGTGACAAGCGCCACTGTCTCTGTCAACGACACGGCACCGGGAGCGGACAAGATAACGGTACGGTTACTGAAAGCTTGTTGGTCCCATCTAGGACCTCTCATGAAAGATCTTTACCAGGCCTGTCTGAAAATCGGCTACTTTCCCACGGCCTTCAGGGTGGCAGAAGTTGTGCTTCTTCCAAAGCCGGGTAGAAATCTGTCAACTGCCAAGGGTTGGCGACCAATCTCACTGTTGTCGAGTTTAGGCAAAGGACTTGAGCGTCTAGTTGGTAAGAGAATGGCATGGCTGACGATAAGTCACCAAGTTGTTCACCCACAACTATTCTGCTTCGTACCAGGACGATCTGCAGTCGACCTTGCATCCTATGTAATCCATGATGCTGAGTCGGCCATGAGAAGTGGCAAGTCTGCGGCTATGGTCACACTCGACATTCAAGGTGCATTTGATGCAGTCCTTCACAACCGACTGCTCAAACGCCTTCGAGAACAAGGCTAGCCACGATCCCTGTGCCGGTTTATTCAGACATTTCTTTGCCAACGAAAGGTTCAGGTCAAATACCGCGGTGGAATCATAGAAGAGAAGATACTAGAACGTGGAGTATCTCAGGGCTCGCCATTTTCGCCACTTCTTTTTATGCTTTACATCGCTGTGCTTTTTGAGGATCACGGTATAACGAGCAGGTTTGGTTATGCTAATGATGTAGCTATTGTCAGAATTAGAAACATCGCGGCGGATGCTATCTCCGCAGTCCAAGTTGACCTCGAGAGTCTCATCCTTCTCCCAAGAGAGCACAGGATCGATTTTGAGCTGGCAAAGTCAGAACTTCTAGTGACCAGAAGAGGGCCTAGAGAGAATATCAAAACATCTGACCTCTCCATCTTGGTAAGAGATCGCCGGATCGAGCCGTCATCTCAAATCCGGTGGCTAGGAGTCTGGCTTGATACCCAGCTAAACTTCAAGCAACATGTACAGGAATGGACTGGAAAAGCTAATCGTCTAGTCCATTTCTTACGACATATAAACGGAGCTCAACGTGGGGCAGCACCCGGACCTCTGATTCGTGCGGTACATGCATGCGTTCTGAGCACAGCTCTATACGGGGCAGAAGCGTGGTGGTCAGGTCTCACTCGAATTACCACACTGCAAGATAAAGAAGTCGGCACCGGAGTAGGCTGGCATATATCTCTACTGGGAAAAACGATAATTAAAGCTATCAGAGTAGCACTCCCAGCGTGGCGTACCACTCCCAATGGCGCTCTTCATCGTGAAGCGGGAATACCCCCGGTATCGATAATTCTTCAGCAAAAGATGCTGCGGTCTGCAGCTCGTATGCAAAGAATAGATGCCTGGCACCCTCTAGCGATTCGGGCGGCTGAGGATCCGAAAAAGACAATAAGATGCCTAGGTCTTAGACCGGGACAAAGAAATCGTTTGTTCAGACAACCAGAACGGTACATGACACGCCTACAAATGAGTGTGCGTCGAGTTCCGACAGCCGAAGGCCCTGGAAAGCTATACTTCCCACGTGGCACCCCAGTATCGATTCCATGCAGTCGAGAAAATGAAGCTAGGTCTGGAAGCATAAAGTGATGGTTAGCTTCCCATCTAGCTAACACGGTCTGCGCTTTCTCTGATAGATCATCATCGGGTCCCGGAAAATCAGCCTGGGGTTATGTAGTATACAAAGGAGTCAAGTAAGTTGGAAGTGGTTCCGGTACACTTCCCGGAGCAGAGGTGTTCGACGCAGAAGTTGTAGGTGCCATGAAAGCCTTCAAGGCTGCAATAGAGGTAGGAAAAGACTTACTGATCTGCATTCTTCTGGACAAACAAGCGGCCCCCTGGGCGCTCGAAAGAAAAAGATCAAGTTCCTCGCTGTTACGGTTTGACCGTTGTTTTAGCTTAGGAGGAAACCTAAGCGTTTAATTAGGAATAATTACGATAAGACTGAAAGAGGAAGGATGGGCAAATAGAGATGAAATAGCACTACTAGCCAGGAGGTCGAAGCAACATCATAGCGTAATGGCTCCTGATAATACTTGTCTCAGTAGCATGTATTAGGCCTAGGGGGAAGTTATCAGTCAGCAGATTCACGAAGCGGACCAAACGTTACAAGTACCTGTTAGTAGTAGCTAGAGATTTCTTCCCTCTTCATATAGTTTAATAAATCGATTTATTCATTACCAACTCGGTTTCCGTCACACTCGCAGTCGGTGGTGGATAAGTTTTCATCGCTGAGACACAATAAGCGTGTGGAAATACGCTGGATACCCGGGCATGTGGGGATTCAAGGCAATGAAGAGGCCGATAAGCTGGCCAAATCAGGCTTGGGAGCTCCCAATAACCGGTCACTAACCTCAGCTGTGCCCATTGGAGAAGATCAAGATCTAACCTTTGCGGCATTAGGGAGGTGGGTTAAACAGCGCAGCCAAGAGCTCGTGGAAGAGTGGTGGCAGAAGTATCGACCGAAACGATACAAAGATCTGGACCTATTCATGCGTTGCAAAAGACCATCGGAACTGGCACTACAGAGATGGGCGTACCATCGTCTGATTGCGGCAAGGACGGGCCCTGGGGACTACGCCGACTACCATCGACGTTTCAACCACGAGCATGAAGGTCTGAAATGCGTTTGCGGCCGAGTGAAAAGGCCCTGGCAATTTTCAGAGTGCTGACCTGCTTTGCTACGTTGGAGAATCTATGAGAAAATGGCCCCACCTGGGGCCAGGGAAATGATTGGGGATAATGGATGGCAGAAATTCATCCAATTCTTAACTACAAGCAGATGTCACAGTCTGCTGAAGAATGAACAGGGTGGGAGGTGGCCATGCTGAAATTGCTTCTTACTCGAGAGGAGAAGGGATTGGAAGAAATGGATGCGGCGTAGAGCACCGTAACTTAGATATTTACTGCACCCTTTTTTTTTGTCGCTTCTGGATTCATTGCCGGTCATGTAGTTGGCAACGAGCTCTCAGAGCCCATCTCCCCGTGTCACGTCTAAATAGATGTTAGTTTCTTCCTGTCACGTAAAAGATTTCAAATTCAAATTCAAAAAACGGCGAAAGGCCTGGAAGATTATGATTTTCGAAACATCCAGCCTAGTTCCAATCACAACAGACAGGAAGAAAAACGTGCAGCCCCAGATGTCTGGCTGCAGTGTTTATTTTTTTAAATTGCCGTTAGTATTATGAGTAAAAGGGAGAGGATTGGAAGATTGGTATAAACCTCTATATTTGGATTACAGTGTCCTCCATAAGTATACCATTGCCAGAGTGAAGTGCTTGAAACATCTTAGTCAGATTCAGTGTTATTTATACTGAACCGATAACTTGCTTCAAGGCGGTATTCACCATCATCTGGCCCCCAAATCTGTTGACGACCCCACTCGGGATGGTTGATGCCATCGATCCAGTCCTCAACCTCTAGCACTACACAGCCATACTTTTGGATAAATCGCTGGTCAGGAGTACCCTGGGTGCCTTTTAGTGCTATTGATCCATTTTGACCATTGCAGGAATAAACCTGAAGAGCATCTTGGTCGCTAAAGATGTCAAGTTGAATGCCGGACCAAGATGAACGAATGCGTGCAACAGGAAACGAGTTGTTGGACCAGGTCGACTTGAGGGAAGTCGATCGACGGTTATTTATGTAGCATGTATCTGTGCCAGCTGTTAGCTAATGAAGAAACCAAGAGGTGTACATACCGTATCCGACACAGTTGTATCCACAATTCCCATTAATATCAGGAGAAGCAAAATCGGCGCCAATTTGTTTGGGCTTAGACCAGAAATCGTTCACACTACCTTTTGCATTTCCTCGAATGTCACCGGTAGGTACGAGTATTGAGTCGGTGTCGATTCTTTGCCCAGCAAAAGGCAACCATAGGGAATGGTTGAGCGCTGTGGTAGTTTCATCATTGGAGAATCCATCAAGATTCAAATATGTCTTTCATACATTAGATCAACCTGGAGAAAAGTTTATGAAGCGGGATAACACATACATGACTACTTAGCATCACTGGCGTCTTTTTTGACACACTCGATGCAACCATCTCGAGATCCCACGTCATATTTCCCAAGGTATAAGTTATGGTACTTATCACTTCTCCCGGAAATCCTTCTTGACCGTCCCCGTCCACCAAACTGAACGTGATGCTATTCGTCGTCTGCTCTACGACCGTCCAGTTGCGCCAGTCCCAACCATTAGGTCCGCCATGGATCGTATCAACACCTTCAGGATTATCTGTTGTTGGATTTTCATTGGGTGTGACCTTCCATACTTCCCCATCAATCGCGAAGCTAGAATTTTTAATTCGATTGGCATAGCGGCCCGGAACACCACCGAAATGAGGGTGCTGGGCGTCAATGCTGTAATATGAAGCGTTGTCCCAACCAGTTACTACATCGCGTTCGATACCTGAAGTATCATTGATAAAAAGATTTGTGATAGACGCTCCGTACGGTACGAACATCGCCCGTATGTTTATACCTTCTAAAATGTATTTCCCGTTAATATCGGCCCCATTACCGGCCAAAGATGCAAATGTCTGAAGGCAGTTCAAGCCGAATATAACTTGCAGAATAAAGAGCTGCATGTTTAACATTTACCTTACATGATATATTAAATACAATAGAAAATCTATGCTACTCTAGATAAGACTGTGTCTACTACCTTCGAAGTCATAAGTTTATATTTCTTATTCCGGGAGCCAGTATACCTTGAATCTGCGACTGAAATATTTACAGGGATCTTGTGGATCACCCCAGCTTTAGTCCACCGCGTTGGTACATGATTAGTCAGTCGGTCTAGATATATCATTAACTACTAGGCTGTTCCATGTGATAATCCTGTGGGGTTGGAGTGCCAAGCATGTGGAATTTGCCGCTGTTTTAATATCATTTGACGTGCTTTCAGTTATGTAAGGCATATCATCTGTGCTAGAGAATGCCGCTGTCTACACGAAAGTTCCAGCGTGGCAGCGAGTTATTTAATCACAATGCTATGACTATGAAGACACATGAGGCTGTGATATTATATCACTGTTTAACCTACGTAACGAATTTTTAAAGTAAATGGAGCCTTGTGTATTATTCTACATCCTGATCAATCCGATCTGTACTGCAAATCTTTGCTAACTCATCTGATAATATTGAGATAAGTGCCAATTGATACTATATTTCTTCGAATCTTTCAAATTGATTGAAGCTATACACTGAAGTTTTTTTAAATTTGCATAGAAGATTAATGTTAATTTCAAAGTTTATATGTAGTCCCGTCCAGTTCACAATTGCTGTTCAGAATTACTGAGGCGAATAGGACCTCATCTACAACTGGAAATTTTCAAAATTACTTGCATTACATGGCAATGCTCCTCAGCTAGGTGTCGATTAATTTACCCTCACCCCCGTTTTCACCAGTCTTTGAGACAGAAGTTGTGTCTCTAGTATCTTTAGAAGCCCGACCTTTGCCTTTGCGATCCGTAGCGGAGCGTTGGTAGTATTCCGCAAGAACCTTATGCGGAATCCGATTCAACAGCTCCTTTGGATAAATACGGAGAAGACTCCATGCTTGGTCAAGAGACTCGTAAATACTCCTAGACTCATAAGGAGATTGTGAAATGAAAGTGCGCTCGAATTTCTCCAAGAACTCCAAAGAAAGCTTATCTTCTGATGAAAGGGCCTCTTCACCGACAACAGCTTTCATGGAAGCAGCGTCTCGGCCAATAGCGTATTTGGCGTATAGTTGATTTGAGACGTCGCCGTGATCCTTACGCGTATGTCCCTCGCCAATGGCTGACTTCATAAGTCGAGACAAAGATGGAAGCACGTTGATTGGGGGATAGATACCTCGATTATCTAGTTGGCGGTCGATAAATATTTGCCCTTCTGTAATATAGCCAGTCAAGTCAGGTATTGGATGAGTAATATCTTCATTAGGCATAGTTAAGATGGGAATTTGGGTAATAGAACCATTTCGCCCATGAACACGGCCAGCTCGCTCGTAGATTGTGGAAAGATCTGTGTACATGTATCCTGGATACCCTCGACGGCCCGGTACTTCCTCTCGAGCAGCTGAGACTTCACGTAGAGCATCGCAATATGCAGTGAGATCAGTGAGGATTACCAAAACATGCTTCTCGAGTTGATAAGCGTAGTATTCGGCCGTTGTGAGTGCGAGACGAGGCGTGATAATACGTTCGATACTAAAAAGGTGTAAGATTGAGGGAAACCTTGGTAGCGGAAAAGATCTTAAGACTTACGTAGGATCGTTTGCCAAGTTTAAAAATAGAGTAACGCGTTCTAGTGAGCCGTTTTCTTCAAAGTCCCTAGTGAAAAATCGAGCTGTCTCTAAGTTGACTCCCATAGCTGCGAAGACAATTGAAAAGTTATCTTCATGTCCATCATGGGTTCCTTTGTTTGTGACGCCTTGTTTCTGGACCAGTCCAGCTTGTCTGCATATTTGTGCCGCGATTTCATTATGTGGGAGACCAGAAGCAGAAAAAATTGGTATTTTCTGCCCACGGGCGATAGAGTTCATCGTGTCGATAGCAGAGATACCGGTAGAAATCATTTCTTCTGGGTAGACCTAGATAGTGAGTACAGTACGTAAAAATATGAATCGAAACACTTGCTCTAGAATACGGATTTATTGGACTCCCATTTATGTCCAAATAATCTTCTGCCAGAACCTTGGGTCCTTTATCAATAGCTCTTCCGGAGCCATCAAAAATACGACCTAACATGTCTTCGGAGACACCAAGCTTTAAGCTTTGTCCTGTGAATTCAACTTTCGTCTGGATTTAAATTAGTGAGGTTATTGATATGCCTGAAGGTGCTTCACCTTTTTGACATCAATTCCTGACGTGCCTTCGAAAACCTGGTCTCCAATGAGTCTCTACTCCGCGCAATTATCTTCTCGAGGGGCCCACCTGCACAACAGCTCGATCACCTAGTTGTAGTTTATGTAAGTTTATTATCAAAATACGGAGTCAATGAAAAACTGACCCCTGGCTTCCAGTACTTGTCCAGACCTTTCAGTACCATCCGGTAGTGTCAATGACACAATTTCATTGTATCTCGGAAATTTAACCTTAAATAATTCATTAGATGTGTTTCTTCGTAAAATTTGAGGAATCTATAGCTGTATGTACGTTTTCTAAGATAACTAATGGGCCGTTTACACCCCCGATGGTGTTGTAGCGGACCCGAGGCGTAACTGAGAACGAGGAAGACTCTCGTAGGTCCCCCATGATTGCGTTTAATTGATGACGATGAATTATGTGTAGCTGAACTGGTTAAGCAAAGTTCTTGTCGTGCTTGGGAGGTTGGATTTGGTTTTTTTTACCAATTATTAGGTCGTCGGGATGATGGAGGCTGATTGGCGAATATATGGGAGTGGTATGCAGCACGGTCACTTAATTGAGAAGTGATCACTAAGCGGCCTGAACAGCTGGTATCGAGCCCGCCGTGCATCCTGGCTCCATGCTGCTCTGGCACAAGGGCTCGTAGTGTCACTAAAACAATTGCAGCACAACATATATATCTTTTTATTTTCAAGTCTAATTATACTTGTGTACATAGTGGACATATCTTTGATAATATGGCCTCGTCCCTTTGAAGCGCTTCAAATTCAAAGCATCCTCAGATCAATCTTCACCCACAGCGAGCACAAACTTCAACTACAAGCTTACTTGATATTAACAAACGTTTCATAGATACTTAACTAACGCTGATGCGACCCCGACAATAAAAATCTCCTCAACTCTGGAAAGAGCGATAAAGCATGCATCCTCAGTGACAGGGAACATATTTGATATTACCAAGACATTTTGTTGCGGATTTGCGGATCTTTACACATTATACACTAAAATCCAAACTTCGAAGGCTACGCACCGTACATGTGGTAGGCCCTCAAGCTATGTAAGAAATGTGAGGGTTGGATGGTGCAGTGGTACACCATCCGGGCCGTTCTCCCAAGTAAATACTGGGTAGCTTGAACACCAACCTCATTCAAGGCAGGAGAAAGCTGGTTTGAATTCAGTAAGTCCCACACACCACTCTCTCTCGCGGTGATATCGTGCTTGTGGGATGATGAAAGCACACTCGGGTAGCCACAGGGTTTTCACGCTTTTCACTGTGGTGGGTATGCACGGAAGAGGTTATTTGCCGTAAGGGTTAACCTCGAATGGTACCTGCAAACGAATTTGTGTGTGAGTGTTCTAAATTTCAAATTGAGTCATTCTACTTAAAGCATATGTCTTCCGATAAAAAACCTGCATCGGCCTCAAGGCTCCAAATCATGATAATGAATTATACATATATATATGTTAGAAATATATCCATAATATTATAAAACCAGCTCGGTAACGATACTCGAGGCTTATCATACAATATTGGCCCCTAAGCGTTGGGTCAAACACACGTTATCAACATCTACTAGTTGCTCGAAAGATAATGGATCTAAAGGCCCTCTGGATAATAATCTGATAACCCCAAATTGAATCATAGTGGCTCTAGCAACTAAATCACATAAAATGAATTATGGACATGTAGTCACAGGCCCTTCTACCTGTTAACTCCCCATTCAGATGTCTCAATTTTCTCGTAATCAATAAAAAAAAGGATTTCCTTACCTAGGCTGTAAAATTAGCAGGGCCCAAGGCAGTAAGTCTATTAAGATATTAATCCAGGTGTCTATCGCAACCCTTTTTTATACGAAGCAAAATCTTCTTGGTCGCTAGTCCCAAACTCTTTTATCAATAACACTCAATAAACCGCGAACAGATGGCCTTTTCGTGCCTTCAGTAGGCGAATGGAAGAGGAAAAATGCTGCAGCTGACAACAAGGATGTAATTGTAGGCTGCAAAGATAAGCTCGGAAGTGTTTTAGTTTTATCGTGGTTTAGATTTGTATGTAAACATAAATCGCATTTAAATGAGTGCAGTAACACAACTTTTTATTGCCGCTAGAGTCGTTACCGACTATATCCAATCGTATGGGGAAAATTGGAGAATAATTGTTCTGCTGGCTTGTATAATCTAAATGCGCACGCGCACGCGCACTTTTTTTTTCGCATCAGATTTTAATTGCGTATGCGGCTATCTAGCTATGACACAAAATCAAAGAAAAGCACAGAATAGATGGTTCAACGTAAAGGAAGAGCACTCATGCCTCGGATTTCATTTGCAAGTACCTCTGCGAAGTTATGGCGGCTTTTACTTCACTCCAAGTCAACCCTCATCCGTGAATACCCACCCAGGGGAACGTCTCAAAAACCCTGGGTTACCCAGACATGCCCCCGGCATTCATTATCCTTCCTCCGCGCGAAATGTAATCTGAGCTGTCACCTTCCCAAGTGGAGTAGGAGCCCAGGCTACTCGAACTATACTGAAGAAGCCGTCCAAAAGATGAGTCAGCAATAAATATGTTGTTGAAATAATAACTACATTGTGATAAAATTGTACACAAAATTCTCCCTGAGCCAAGTTCAGTCAAATTTCGCAATATCAAAGAAGTTGGCCCATGAGGCAAAAATTCAAACTACTCCACCATGTCAATCTTTCACTCCCAAAGAGTCCGATTCTCAACTAAGCTTCATCAAGTCTACAAGTACGACCTAGTACATCCTCATCTCAATGACCATACCTCCCATCGACTACCTCTGGCCTCGACCACCAAATACACGCCCACGCCGATATTTATACCCGACGGAGAGAGCAAAGCGTGGCGCACAAGTTTTGAGATAGTTCATTGGGATGGACGTGAGAGGGATCAGGACAAGTTCACAATATGATGCAAAGAATGGATACAGTCTCGACGGGCGTGAAAATTCGAATTTGGCAAGTGTTTCACAAGTTAAGCTTTGTGCGCGCCAAGACTTCGCTTGCGAGAGTGCAGTTGACAATATAAAAACAAGCAAACGATGGAAGGTGTTGTGGTCCGCCTCCTGGTGGTGTTCTCTGGTATAGTTTGAGTAGCCTGGGCACCTACTCCACTTGGGAAGGAGACACCTCAGATCACATATCGCGCGGAGAAAGGTTGAAAGATGATGGAGGCATGTCTGGATAACCCAGGGTTTTTGAGACGTTTCCCTGGGTGGGTATTCACGGATGAGGGTTGACTTGGGGTGAAGAAAAAGCCGCCATAACTTCGCAGTGGTGCTTGCAAATGAAATCTGAGGCATGAGTGCTCCTCTTGTAAATTGAGTCATCTTTTCTATACTTTTCTTTGATATTGTGTCATAGCTAGATAGCTGCATACGCAATTAAAATCTGATGCAAAAATTAGAAATTGTACGTGATCATTCAGTTAAGTTTCGACGCGCTTTTAACCTCTTTGCCAAACGACCCAGCCAGAATTAATGAAAAATTAATAAATTACAAACTAGCAAGTTAGTGTTTATGTTTCACGCTATGCCCAAATGTCGATCATCGGAGCTAAACGTAGAAATAGTATGTAACTCATTACCCTAACATTTATTCTTATCACAGATACTTACTGCAGTTCTACAGCGTAATAGAAAACCCCGTCGACGAATAATTCTGCGACGATGTCTGGAAGACCGCCAAGTAAAAAAGCTAGACGCTTAAGTACCGATTCTGAAAGTAACGATGACGGATATGACTTCAGTGTTCCAACAACAAAGGCCCAACCAAGAGCCGGGAATAAAGATGAGTGAGTGGTCTTTTTCCCTCAATTGGATTTCCAAATATTTCATTAAGCAAAATATTTGAATATTGCTTCGAAATTGCAAACGTTGTAGCCAAATAACCTTCGGTTTGAAATAACTGATTTATATCATTTTCCGGGGAAAAAAGTGTCTTCCTCAATCAGCTGGTGTGGAAGTATAAGCCAGTATTTAGTAACTTGACAAGTCAGTTTCATGAGAATCCGTTCCTTCCTGCAATTATGAACCAAAATATCAAATTTGCCACTCTTTCCTCATCACTCGCGACCTATTAGCTTCTATTTTTCTTATATTCTGCTTTCTACTCCATCGGGCTCCTGAAAAACTTTTATTTTTTCACAAACACATCAGACTTACCGCCAAAAGTTGATATAATGCAATTAGCAGCTAGAAAAAAGATTACATATTGCTGCTTTTAACTATATACACAACCTAGGCGTATATCATTGAGCCTCTCGTAGTATCACCATCACATTTGCGCGGAGAATAAATTTAGCCCAAGGCTAATAATGAGAAAAAACTACAAGCCTCCGGATAGCCAAACACGGCTGACAGTAAAGACATCTTCTAGTAAGCTTCGCGAAGCTATTCGTCCCAGTACTCGGGGACCAGGAAATACAACTAAAAGTATCAACAACAACACCAAAGGGAGTCATTTTATTGAGGAGAAGAGAAACAGGAGTATAAAAAAAAGCTACGTGCTGGAGAGTGAAAGTGAAGATGCAGAGATTGATATGCCTGACCTTGGTGACGATGATGAAGAGGAAGATGAGGAAGAAGACGATGATACCGATGATGATGGACTAAATCATGGAAATATTGATGGAGATGTTGATATGGGCAACGAGATTACTGCAGCTCCTACGAAAAAACCGAAGAATGTCATCAAACAGCTCGTTATACCTAGATCAGCACCGAAAGGTACTTCAGCCCCTCAGTTGAAGCAAAAACAAGTTCAGTTTCAGGCTAGTGACGAAGATGAGCTGAGCGAGTTGGAAAGCAATGCAGGTGAGGAAGATGATAATATACGGGGTGGCGAGGAAGATGCTGAAGGTGAGGAGGACTTGGAGCTCGGAGCTGAAGATGATGATGAAGAGCCAGAAAGTGGAGCAGGGAGCCAAGCTTCTACACATGATATAAACAAGCTCACCAAGCGACAAAGAGCCAGACTTCAGGAAGATGATGGAGGAAGTTTGATCGCTCTACCTGACGGTATCATACATTAAGACCTACCTAATCTCAAACTAATAATGAACAGAAGTTCAAGTAAAGAAACATCTCACTGCAGAAGAACACGCTATGCGACGCGCTGAAATGGCACGCCGACGCAAGAACTTGAGCGAAAAGCGTAACGAAGAAGAAAAAGTAATGCCTATCCCCCCAATTGTGCAAAGCCTTGACTAATGACGTGCCAGTTGGAAACAATCAATAAGTTACTGAAAAAACAAGCTCCTAAGACCAATTCACGACGTAGAGACCTTAATGCGGCTACCGCCGGAGACAACAATATTGAATATTCCGAGACTCCAAAACCCGATCCTACCCTTGTACGCTGGATAAGTTCTAAAAGAGGTAACCAGATACTGGTACCTCAGGAATGGTTAGACGGTCCTGTGGGCGATATATTCATGAACAAAACTCGCTCAGAAAACTTCACGGTTGAAGAAAGAGTTGGATAGTTGTAGCGCAAACATTATAACGTTGACCATTATGTTGATCAACAATTATCAAGTTCTAACTAAACTCCGTAACCTTAATTATTCTGGGAATATAAGAGACACCCTCGCTCCTGCTCACTATCTAAACACTATTATATTTGTCGTAATACTACTTGGGATATTTATTTTTCTTTTTTTCGTCCGTCGGGGCACCAAGTCTTGGCTTAAGTCCCAACTACCCACTAAACTAACTTGAGGAATTGACGCCTGTTCTTACTGCCTTGGTGGCTTCGCCCATGCTACTTACCCTATTTTTATTAAATCACTTAATGTGTAATCAGCTATCTAGCTATGACACATGACCGGTGCTATGTATACATGTTGGATGACTCTTTTGACGTTAGAGATATTCATACTTTAGATTTCATTCGCAAATACCACCATGAGGTATGTTCGCTTACACAAACAGTCGACCCTCCTCCGTAAGTACCCACCAGAGGAAATTTCGAAACCTTTGAATATCCAAGCATGTCTTCGTCATCCATGCATACCAGAGCCGCGAGAAAAGTGGTTGTGTTTTGCCGGATTCGAACCAGCGATCTACTGTCTCAAATGGGATATGTGTCTAAGCTATCCAGACTCTACTTGGCAGACCGGCCAAGACGATGTACCTCCGCACTATCCAACCATTGCGGTATTTATATTGTCGCCTGCACTCTCGCAACCGAAGGCTTGGCACGCACAAAGCTCAATTTGTAAAAACTCCATGCCAAAATTCAAAATTCCACGCCCGTCGAGACTGTATTCATCCTTCGCATCATCTTGTTAACTTGTCCGTAATTCTCTCACGACAATCCCAAGGAACAGTCTCCCAGAATTGTGCGCCACGCTTTGCTTCCTCCGGCGGGTGTAAATATCGGCGTGGGCGTGTATTTGCTGACCGGCTGAGGCCAGAGAAAGTCGACGAGAGGTGTGATCACTGGAATAAGGATGTAATAGGTCGTACTTGTAGACTTGATGAGGCTTAGGTAGGGTTCGATATTTTTTGGAATGAAAATTTGAATCATTGCCTCGTGGGCCAACTTGTTCGGTATTGCGAAATTTGACTGAACTTGGCTCTGGGAGAATATTTCACTCCTAGGTTTGTAGAGGACACCGCGTACAGGTGTTGAGTCTTGCCCTACACCCTCGTGATTGAAACGAAGGTATCTTGGGATTTTTTTTGACTGCATGGGAAGTGTAATAGCCAAGATTGAGACTACTAGTTGTTGATACTTATTCACGTGGCTTAGTGCAGCTCGCTGTGTTGCCCCAAGGCTGATGCGCCTGCATCTAAGCAGAATGAGAACCATCATATCATCGATTGCCTGGAAAGACGAATTCTTCACCTTCCAGTGGTGCCGGTGTAATCGCTCAGTATACTTTGCACATCTGGGATGGCCGAGAAGAATTGCATCCGAATCAAAGTCGAAAGCGAACACAGACACATTTAAAGTCGGCCACAAACAAACAACCCGCACAATTCGAGAAATTCGAAAATTCCCTTTTTCCTCCGATCTCGATCTCGTCGCATTCATCTTCGAATTGTGATCGAGCGAAGGCATTTTTCACCATGCCTCCAGTTCGCAAAAAGCGTCCCAACGCCAAGTTGGACAACACGAGAGTCCACCCGAGGGCTCTCGAACAAGTACCTGGCCTTGCCCAGTCTCCGAAATGTGCGGAGATGAGCAAGGTCTCAACTAAAGGGAAGGAAAAAGTCCTCCCCGCCGTCACTGAGCCCGATACTGACACGATCGGGTCAGTTGAAATTGCTGAGGAATTTCCCCAACCATCTTCCGTCCCTCACGGGACTGGAGAATCGTCAAAATCTCCTCCGACAGCGTCAAAACTGTCGGAAAACGCTGCAGCCAAAGCAGCGCCAAAATCAACGACGCAGCCAAAAGCTGCCACAAAAGCAGAGTGTCCCCTAGAGCTCCGAGCAATTTTCGAAGCTGACAAACGACGCGCCGCCGAAACAGCGGCAAATCTGGCCCTCTGTTCCGCCGCCATCTCTAGCGTCGAAGCCACCCTCCTCCCTTTGACCAACGGGTCAAATAGACTATTCGTAGACTCGATGAGAGTCTACTTACGCGCCGCCATTGCGCAATACATGGCCACGGGTCCGGCTATCACGCCACCCGTCCTCCCTCCTTGTCTGGCGAACCCTCTCCCAAGGGCTCCCGACGCCAGGAACCCAACGATTCCCGCTGTCCCAGTGCTGCCTGTAAAAAGCACCTGGGCCATGGTGTTCAAAAATGGACTGCGAAAAAATACAGTTCCTATAGCATAGGCTGTGCCGCGATCTGCGGTGAAAGCCCAAAAGAAAGAATCTCCCGAGGCGAAAGTCGATAAGCGACTGTTCCTTCGCCTGGAAAAGGAGCACCAATAGCGGGATCTCTCAAACAACATTGTGAAAAGTAAGGTAGCGGACACGCTTAATCTCTCTTACAATGATATAACCTCGATTCATCGAGTAAAGACCGGCTTTGCTATTATAGCAAAGAAAGAAAAATACGACAAGAGATCCTAGATGTCTCTCCGAAGCTGGCAAGTGAAAACGCCAAACTCGAAGCATCTACGGATCTTGTCGCCTTACAGATACCGAACGTGCCTGTAAGTATCGTTTCACAGTACGGCCCCGTAGCGACCAATGCTGCAAGTGTCACCGCTGAGATCTTCCTTACGACTAGCGCGTATCCAATCCAGGTCCGACCTCACGGGACATGTCGGCCTGGATTGCCTTGTCGAAACTGGCATGCCCTTTTTCACCGGGACGAAGCCCCTCGTGCGGGCTTCCGCCTTTTCGACGATTCGGGTATGGCTACCATCCACAAGCCTCGTCGATCAATTGAACAGTGCAAACGCTGTTTGGGCTTCCACGCCACTCGTGGTTGCTCCCGCGCTCCAGCTTGCTGGAACTGCAGATCAAATATGCACTCCGAAACAGATTGTAAGGCCCTCACACTCTGTCGCAACTGTGGGGGACCTCACCGATCGGATTCTCGGGCCTGCCAAGTCAGACCAAAAAAATCCGGACCGGTGACCAAAGAGCAGCTCGCGTGGATTCGCCACATCGAGCAAGGGGAGTTCGCGAAGGTGGCACGAGCCAGGGCTGCAGAAAAAAAGGCCGAAGAGGCGATCATCGCCGCGGCGAAGGATGTCTCGATGGCCGAGGCAACAGGTTTCGGAGCTCTGGGATCTGAAGAAGAAGTTTGAGGACACAGCAACCTCGACGATGTCCCCTTTTGGGGCATCTACTAACCAATAGCAGGATACCGGCTGGATCAAAGGTGCCTGCTAACTCATCTCTTGCTCTCAGCGGAGATTGAGTAAATTTGTTATTTGGAAGGTTTGACGGACGACGGAATGTGTGAGGAGCACATTGCTTGAGTCCAATGTGGAGGAATCTTCTGGTTTTTGGAGTTGCTTTGATTTTCTTGCTTTTTCGTTTTTGTTTAATCAGCTGCACTTTTGGTAGCGATTCACGAGGTTGGAACGAGTTAGGCTATAGGAAAGATTACAGGGAACCCTGCCGGAACCGTCGGTCCTTGATCCAATGTGGAAAATATAGCTTTAGCTAAGGACTGAATGTAAAAAAAAAATCTAAAGTCGGCGACTTCACATAAATTCGGTCTTGTCGATCTCACGAGAGACCTCTAGCTTAACTTTTCCACACACCACCTCGCCTCAACGACCGATATAGGCGTTGATCCAATTGCAAATAAGAGATTGCGTCATCTTTAATCAACTAACTCCCATTAACAAATCACGATGCTACGTACACCCGCAAGGAGGAAATTAAGTCATAAAACACAAAGCTCGGATCATGGCTCATGTGGGACAGTTGCTCTAGTAGGGCTATACATCTTGGGGAAAGACAGGCGACTGAGGCGTGGAAAAAGTTGAGGAAGAGGCCTCTTGTGAGAATAATAGTTCTGATACTTTCGAGATTTTTTCGACTTTGGATATTTTGTGAGCGCCAAGACCGAGGTTTCGGCTAACTAGTCAGGAGGATTCCTATTGTCGATGAATCAACGGTACTCTCAAGGGCTCTGGACGGCACAAAAGAAGTTTGGCCAAGCTACTTTACAGCAATCACGCTCTGTCAATACTTTTCTGACATTTCACCACGACCGTCTGGGAGGAGTTGGAAGGAGGCTAGAAAGGCATAGTGTGGATTTCCTGAGGCACACACAAGTCTGCAGCACCCAGCTGGCCGGCCTCTTCCAACAATTCAGAATGGTCACTATGTCTTCAGATTTAGGCCTAATGTCGGTATTAGAAGAGCCCAGCTCCCGGTGGCTTTTGCGATTTTTCCCGGCAGCCATACACCCTTAAATGGCCATCGTTTCGTTGGCTGGAAAGGGGAGATAATGAAGGGCAGAGGGCTCCTATAAGTATTTGATCGAACGAGGACTTGTCAGGAGTGGTACTATTTGAGGGGAGCTGTATGGGAGGCATAGGAGGGGATATACTACTGGTATAGGTATCCTTGGGCTGTAGACAGAGAGGACCTGCATGTCCAACATAGTCACAGACTCAGACAGGACAATAAAATGAAATAATAATCACATCATCGAGAGATCCATTGTGTACGCGTACAAATGTATATTGCCGACTAACAAGAATAAATTCAAATCAACTAAATTCGGTTATTTTCATTCTTTTATATCTTTATTTTTGAAGAGATAGTAATAACTGTTGTGATCTAACGCTGTTCAAATCTGCGGACTTCGTGGTGAGCAGTTATACTACCTCACGTGATAGAACATGGGAGTGAAGTAAAAGAGTGGTCAACCCACTAGCCAGATCTAAGCGATTACTGGCACACATAGAACTGTAACACATTCTTTGTAGATAGTACAATAACATAATTATCATCAGTGATTAAATTAATCCCCACACAATTGAGACCCATTGAAGTGCCAACTTTCATACCACCCTCAACTGTATTGTCGCAATCGCATCCATAACAAGCCACC